ACGAACCATCCAGTAAACGAGATTCAAACTTTGTGGTTGATCAGCATTGGGTAACAGCTATTACCATACAAAAGTAGAAGTCCATGGCTATCATGATTCTTGAGTTACAGGGAGGTCGCTACTTTTGTGGAGTACTGTATAACGCTGTATTGTACATACTGAAGTGTAAGAACATAAACATTTTGCCATATTGTAACGGCTAACAAATATTGACCATAGAAATAGATCACGTAAAAATTCTATTTGAAAATAAAAATAAAAGAATCGAGATTATTTATTTATTTATTTTCTTTTCTTTACCTGGTGATTGTACAATGTTAAAACTAAATGCAACACTTTTATTAGTTTCATATAAAAACTGAACTTTTTTTTGTTGTTTAAATCCTTGATTAACGTCATCTAAATTAGCCGAATATTGATTACGTTCTTCAAAATTAAATGAACAACTCGTATAATTATTATCAAAACCAATTGCTAAATACTGTCCATTAGCAATAAATATTAATTCAACTACTGGAATATTTTGTATACCATTTGTTGACAATACAAATGGAATATGAAATTGTGCTATTATTGAAAACAATGTTGATTCATTTGTAGGTGAAACGATATAGAGTATAAGATCACTGTTAATAGAAGTAGTAGTGGTCATATTGGATAATCTATAAACATTAATTGAAATATTTGAAATGAAACCATTTGTTCTGATCATATCAACAGAACTGAATATAACATGACCAATTAAATCACATTTTATATTTTTACCATCATCTAATATTCCGTAATTCTGACCTATAAATAGAAGCGGTTAAAGTATCAAATTGTCAAAAAATTGAAAATAGAAGAAAAACGCATATCAGAAGATTCAAATATAAAACAACTTAAACGCTACATGTGTTAGGTAACACGAGGAATAGAAATATATTATACGATATGTTTTATGCATAATTAATAATGCACAATAATAAACTAATCTAAATTTGTCATTGATTTTCTTTTGTATAAAGTTTAACTCCACTTTTTTGAAACATCCCATGTATACGAGAAAAATCGTTCGATGGATGCGATGAGTACTCGAAAATGGGCGCTCACCAAGGACTCGATCCTTTGAAAAATGAGAATTCATACCCCTGATATAAGCGTTCGATTGGTTTCGTACCTTCGGGTTTCAGATAGCGAGCAAGCCCTCGAGAAAACCCCTAGTCGACTAACAGAGATGCTCAGGATTTCGAAGCCTTCGTCGCTCGAGCCTTTTTGTCTGCTTGGATCTCGAACATTTCTGTTCTACGGCCTAGAATTTTTCTCGATAGCTCGTCCCTACGGACGTACTTGGGACCAAGTACTTCGTCAATGAAGCCGGTACTTGGCTTTTTTCCAATAAGTAAATTTACTTGTAAGTATTTGTCCTTACTTGCCAAGTACTTTCAGAAAGTACTTCTTAGCAATAAGGCAAGTATTTCGATCATTGACAAGTACTTAGCAAGCAATCAAGTATTTGCATTCTCTAGGGCGCTGTTTATCTGAAATGCCCTAGGCGAGGGACCAACGAAAGTGTATTTTTTAGTACTCGAAATACCACTCGAACAAATGATTGGGATAGGTAACACTTTACATAAGAAATATATGCAAAATAGTTCTAAGTCTGAAGTTCTAAATTTAGAAAGTTTCACTAGCTTTACGCTTCATCCCTTGATAGAAATATTGTGGTTTCTTACCTGAATCAATTTCATGATAATTCTAAAAAGAAAAAAATGTTTAAATTTTAAATGTTCACATTTCTCGAACCGTTCGCTTTTACTTTTAGTTCATGAATAGTCGTGTCTACATTAAAATAAGTTTTGTAATAATCAAGTCGATCATTTATTGAATTATTAACTTGAATTTCTCGTTCGTGTAGTATAGATTTTGAAAATGGTAAAAACGTTGTCTTTCCCTTCAAATATATTTCAGTTGATTGGAAAAGAGATGGATGGATGTATATTGATAAATGTAACTCACGACATTTTTATAAAGTTTATTTATGTCTATCAATTGTCTTAAACGATCAAACGATGCACCATATTCGATCAATAATTGAACAAATTGAATTCTGTTCAATCTTAGTGCATCTCTTAATGCTTTATCCAACTCAACTTCCTATATATAAAAGAAAAGTTTCTTAATGTAATCCTATATGCCTATAGCGCGAATTATTCCGAAAACTTAATCCAACTCATTTTTTAATCAACTATATCATGCAATGAGCTAGCTATTTTTCCTCTGATTCGATCTTAAATTAGTGGAAAAACAAAAATATTTTAGATCTCATTGATTCTTAAATTAATAAACTGACACTGTTTTTGCTGTATATATCAAAAATGAGATTAGTTCGGTTTGATTCTGAACGAAGGAAAAGAGGACAAAATGATTTTAGTAACTTATCTTTCCTCCGATCGATCCTTCGATGGTCAATTCTGCTGCCCCAAGGACCGAATAGACTTTGAGTTTTGTTGAATACACGCTTCAAAAGTACTGTATTCAAATTTCTACATCGACAAAAACCTTTGAACAAGTTACTTATGTTTTAGTTACCCATTCGACAGCATACTCACTAAGTTGTGACGTACAATATAGCTCATCCGATTAGTTGTCGTGGCGTTCTGTCAGTACGCGGTTAGCGAGTTTGTATGACGATCTCAAGCAATTGGACGAAAGAACTCGGCATTTTAGTAGACATCTGGCCAGAGTTGTAGTTGATGATTAATAACGAGATGGGTGATCATGTCAAAAGCTTGTTAGCTGTAGGGAATGGAATGTATCAAGCTGTCGAAAAAAACTATCAGTACGATTTTTTGGA